TTTCTGCTTGCAGAAGTGCATTGCCTTTACGATGGGTGCTATAGTGACTGGGACAGCCAACAACACTGAATATAAGGCCACCAAAATAGCTGTTAAATGAGCAAGTGCCTGTCACTGAGGAAGGCTCCAAAATCCTGGGTTTTATCCAACCCAAATTGTTCCGTCCGCTCTTATCAGGGAGCTGATGGTTGGTTCCCATTTGGTTACAATTTACATCTAGTTGGCAGCGTGCAGCTGGAGAGAAGCCAAGTTTTGTATCACGATGACTGTTTGGTAACAGATGTCTAATGTTTCCCAACACATTTAGCTCATGTGATAGGAATCATGAGCTAGTTTAGTAAAGCTGAGCAGTTGGGTAATTACAAACCTTTACTCCCATCATTTTCTCATTTATTCTTTTTAGCTGCCTGGTTAAGATTATTCTGAATTTTTGTATTTATAGTTTGGGGAAAAAAAGATTGAAATGTGTTTTGGAGTAATAGTTGTCCTATGAAGCGGTTGCTTATTTAAATTGTTGGAAATTTCCAGCAGTGCAGAAAGCCACATGTTTTCCTCTCCTGTTCTGCATAACAGGCATTGCCCAAATGCTTTGGCTGTGGCCCCAGCACTGCTTTTTCAAAGTACCAGGACATGTGGACGATGGTATTTATTCATGATCCCCCTGAGAACTCTGTTTTCTTGCATGTGACACCTGTCCATGCTGAAGGTGATACAAAACCAAGTCCTTTAATAGTGACGCTTTAAGAGTATTTATTTTATTTGGAGGGAGAGAAGGAAACGGTGATCCCACACCCCAACTCTTCCATAGGAGGATACCGATACTCATATAACCAATACAGACAGTCGTTTGAATGAGATTTCTGTAGGTATCTCTGTCGTTCGGATTTTCAACAAACCTTGGAGGAGAGATTGGGAGATTCTGCAGCATGCTCCTGATTGACCTATATGCGAACATTTCCTCCTCTGTACTGTTTTCTAAAGTCCCAACTGGAGAAGCTACTTCTCCTGTTAGTTACAGGAGTGAACTGTGAGCTCTGGTTGAGCTGGTTTTATAGGGCAGGTTACAAAACCCAGTTTATATTAAACAAAAAGCCTCATTAGTGCACTGGGAGTTGCTACCTTGCCTCCTCCAAGCTCCTCTGAAAATCTCAGCCTTCGTTTTAAAAGCTCTTTATCAAAGAAGCAGAATAGGCATTTAGCAAGGATACTATGAAACGTGGACTTTTTGTTGTTCCTTGCTATTTGGATTTGTTATGTTTTGACAAATTTTCTGTATCTGTTATTTTTGTGCATTTCCAGCTGTGACTTTCCGGGCATTCGGGCCTTTGATATCTGGTTTAAAAAGAACCAGTACCAAAATACCCCATGAAGGGCTCTTTCCGAATAACGTCTATTCCAATTAGGGTCAGAAAATTCCAGAAATCTCAGTATAGAAAGGTTGAGCCTGACATCTGCATAGCTCCAGAACATCCCTGAATGCAGATGTGATGCTGATCAGTGTTCACATCTCAGAGCTTGCCCAAGACGTCTTCCTAAAACACCTCTTGTCTATTAAATTATGAACTTAAAATACAAATATTTTCAATCACCAACTGTTGCAAAGGTCAAAAAGTCATATTTTTCTTTGTCAAATTTCAGAGCACAACTATATGGCTGCATATTTAGAATATAACTGCCTTTCTCGTTAGACTCCTGAGTATCAGATGGGAAGAGACTGTGGCATCTGCGAAGTGGTACCCAGAATAAATATGCCCTGACCTGACACGCAGATATTTTTTCCACAGAGTTATTACTGAGTTATTTTCACATTAGCTTGCACAAGTGTCGTCAAACCATCTCTCCCATTCATCCCATCTCTGTTATATTCCCAAAGAATATCCCAAGCATCCTCCACAGTATCTCAGATTTCTTAGATCTGGTCCAGAGCTGAACATATTCCAATTGACACACCACGATTTTTAAACTACTTCTGTATTTCTTTGCACTATGTTCCCAATGTATCAAAAGGCTCCCGTTTGTTTTGGAGGTGATAAAATTAAGACATCCCATGTGCTTGTCCCTAGAACTTTTTAGGGCACAGACTGCAGAACCCTAATAGCTTTTGTTTAGAGAGTTTAGACATGCTCAAATTAACAAAGTTAAAAGACGAAAGCTGAATTCATATTCTTAATTTTAGGGTGAGGATTACACCCTGATTTCTGATTTATGAGATGCCTTGGAAATATCTGCTCTTGGGTATTTTTATTTAAAAGATTGATGAGATTTATTCTTAACTTTGCAGGGCTGAAGTGAATAACTCCTGTTTCTCAGCTTGTAGGAATTTGATTTGAAGGTGGACTTTGACCTTGGTAGCTGGGAATAAAACAGAATTCAGATGTGCCTGTTGTTAGTAAGCATGTGAAGGGCTTGCACGCTTGATTTTACAAACATTTTTGTTTTACTATATATTTTTTTAATTTCTTTTCTTTCTAGGATGCCTAGAAAGCTGCATCTAGTTTGTTTCATAGGCTTCATTGCTCTTATATGTACCGACTGCATATAAACAATCTTACCTGTCAGAAAGAATCAACTGAGGGATTTCAAAAAACAATAACAATAACACTATAAGTACATTTTTTAAACAAAATAATAAATTATCACATTTTTTTTTACTTGAAAGGCCATCAGCAGAGCTTTCAGCTTCTGCAACTCAGCACACAAAATGATGAAGAAGTTGTGTCTGGAGCAGAATATCCCTGTTCCTATCAAACCAAGGCATTTTCAGGAGAATTGGTGGATCTTCCAGGGGCTGGGACAAACATCCTGCTTTCCTTGACAGCACAGGGGCATCTTTGACTTAGTTTTGTCCTCCCATGTCACCTGATGTGCATCATTTTGGTAGGACTTCACCATTATTCAGGATAATTTTCCTCTATGTTTTATGTCTTTGGAGACCCTACTCCTGAGACACTCTTGTTTGGCATCTTCTGTCCCCTCCTCGCTCAGCATTGAGAAATACCTTGCCCAGCAGAGGCAGGGTAGCTATTTCCCTGCCTCTCTGAGAGCAAGTGATCCCTCTGGCTGGCATCTTCTTTCCTGCCTCCTTCCACCAAGGGAGACTCCCAAGCCTTGGGCAAATTTAATGCAGGGCTTTTTGACTAGCAGTTTTGCCTAAGTAGTTTCACTGCTGAAAGGAAATTTTCTCATGCTGGGATTTCATCTTTCTAGCAATTATAAATCATTAGAGGTATTTAACTGGTCGGGAAAACAGAAGATAACTCATATGCTGTCTATACATTTATCATGAAAATTAGACCCATCTCATTGCACTGCCACCCCTAAAATGATGTGTCTTCGGTGATTTAGAAGGGACATACAAATATGGCTTTCTCTTACCAGAGCTCCTTTCAGCTCCAGGTTTAATATGCACCTCATGATTAGTATAAAGTGATCAATAAGCAGCTGTGTCACACAAGGTTATCCCAAGTTCAAAGCAGGCTCGGTGCTGATTAGTTTCCAAAATCGGATGTAGTCAGGCTGCTCTGGTCACAGGAGCAAGGTCACTGAGAGGATCTGGTGACAGTATAAATAATAAAGCAGAGCTTATCTGATTTGTTGACAGTATCCCCAAGATAAAATTGCACTTTATTGCATTGTATTTGGGGGTTTGTGATGTGACCTTTCACCTTTTGTGACACCTCTCGGTTTTTCTCTTTCACCACATTTTTTTTTTCTCCTCCAATGTCATTTCAGTTTTAAATAGAATAAAGAAGTTATTTTGAGGGGAGTAAGTCAGTAAATCAATGTTATCCCATTACTGAATTAGATTAGAAACAGGCATGACAGATAAGATACATTAGAAGGATAGGCAGATATGTACATATGATTGTAGCCAACACTATGTTATTTTATCTTTACTCTAGCGTTATCATGCTTAAATGAAGAACTAGGGTGAAATAGCAGATTATGGTCTATCTATGAATTGCAAGACAATATGGCTGAAGTTAAATACCAAAAACGATGTTTCCAAGCCAGTTCCCCCTTCCCACCCTCCATGCCTCTCTTCATGATCCGTCAACGCTCTTTTCCCATACAAGTCTGTGTCACCAACAGCCAAAGGTTGCTTATGCACAGGGCCTTCTCCGGCAGCTGAATGTCAAACTTTATTGAGTGGGTGGATCCTGTTCATCCATTTCCCTTCCGAGCCTTTCTAAAAATACCATAAACCTTGACAAGGAGCTATTTTAGAGGAATCATATTCATGAGGGTAGTCATGGGAAGCTTATTTTGGCAGGCTTGCATGTGTTGGGTTTGCATGCATCCCTAGTTAAGGGCTTTGTGAACTTCTGTTACAAGCTAGTTGCACATGGGCTAAAGAGGGAGCATCTGGATTTTGGGACCTCCTGTGCTGGAATTTCTACTCCAAGTTGAGTTTATAGAAGGAAAAGAACTGAAGATATCCTTATAGGAATGCTAATATGTGACTGAAGTCATTCATTTCAGGCATTTGCACACCAGCCCTCAGCTTATCGGATCTGATTTCATAAAACCTTGCTGTGATTTCTCTCCAGGGACCTTAATGATCTTGCCACTTTCAATAAACATTTATAGAAACTACTGCCAGCCTGTGGATAAGAGAAACTTGTATGAGAGACTTTATCTTCCAAAAATACTTAAAGACCAAAAAAAACGCACCCTCTCTTCACAAGAAGATCAATAGAAAATGTCAAAATGTAGCATTTGTTGGGTAGCTGGAGCTGAATTACAGTACCAGACATTTGCATTGTAGGCATGCAGTAGGTATGTTTGCTTTTCTCACTTTGAAAACTGTGCAAATTGGAGCTATGCTACAATTGGGAACAGTGAAACAATGAGTGTGAATAAAAGCAAACTCTAAGAGATAAGATGGAAATTAAGCAGGTAAACGCTGTTCCACACTCATGCCATGCGGGTACAGTATTGCGCAGTACTCATGTTTGCACCTCTAAGAAATTTCCATTTTTTCGCATAAAAAAATCCAGATATGAAGCCGAAGCTGCCTTCTTCGCTAACCTGAAACTGTCTGATTTCAACATCATTGACACCCTTGGAGTCGGAGGGTTTGGACGAGTTGAACTGGTAGGTAACCTTTTCTTCTTTGAACTTTGTGTGATGTCCGGGAACCACTACTGTGTTATGAGTCTTTTTATTTCTGTTCAGTATTACAACAGAATTCCCAGAAGAGACATATGTGATAGGATCATATATTTTCTAATGGTGGAAGAAAGCTGCATGACATTTCTGGGTGAATAAAAACGAATGAATAAATAATTTGCAGTAACTGAAAAATATATACTAGGTTGAGGAGAGAGGAGCACGTGTTGTTTCTCTCTACATGGTCATACATTGAAGCAGTGCTGTTTATAACATTGATTGTCTTTTAGCAAGAACCTGAATCGTTGTGCAGCTGTTGATTAAGTGATAAGATTGAAAGAGCAAAAAAATCTTAAAATGTTACTTAGCCAAAACTGGAATAATGGTGCGATGTCTCCTCTAAGCAGTTTCTAATTCAGATCTAGAGGCAGATCTACTTGATTATCACGGAAACTGTGGATTCAATTATAATAAAATTTCACAGAAAAATACTATTTCACTAAAGATTCTGTGAATTTTAGTGAAAAAGCAAAAACAGCTTTTTGCTCTGCTTAGATTTAGAACTACGTAGTCTTTATTAAAACAAAACCTGAGCAGGAGGAGCGTGGATCAGCAGCTGTTTTGTGACCATTTGTAATATCATGTAAATACAAAAACTTCTAATAGAAAGAAGCAGCTTAGTTTACATCAACATGCTGACCAAGGAGGAGTTTCTGATACTGAACACCAGTACAATATGTTAGGAACTCCTTTAAGTTAGGAGCAGAAAAGTGAACGTTTACTGCTGACAACACAAAATTTATGGGAAATCCTTACTCTGTAACCATATGAGAGCCCCAAACGACTTTTTTATATTATTTGTTTATTGCTGGGAACTGGAAAACTGGCAAAATAAGTAGTTTGGTAATTATTTGTGATATAATGGATAAAATCAGTGTTAAAAGTGGAAGTCATTCTTCCATATGATTTGTTTCTAACTCTTCTTATTTGGATTTATGTAAAACTGTGAAAAACAGAGGACATCAATGAGAACTTTGATCTCTTCCTCGGTTTTTGTTTTTATTTATTTAATATTAGCAACAGTTGTTTTGGAAGATAGTCACTGGAGCTCAAGCGTAGCCTGGGAAGGATGTCCTTTCCCCAATCCTTCTACAGTCATGTTCTACAGAGGAGACTTTAGAGCAGGAATTTAATTCAGGTGGTGCTCAACCTCACATATGAAGGTCTTTCACCATTATAAAGGTCAGGGGATTTGCTTCCTAAGTTAATACCACTGGGTATCAGCCTGAGGTAACCTGTAGTGAGGGACCTACCATTTGGGGACTTGTTTTGAATCTTGGAAGGAGCTTGCTAGGCTTATTTTCATTTCTAAGATTTTTTTTTGGTTGATTGGGTGAGTGGGTGTGGTTGTTGGGTTTTTGGGGGGTATATTTTCAAGCTTTGAATACCTCATGTTGTTCCTGGGAAGGTGGATGAGTTTGTCTTCATGGGGGGTTGCTTCAGGTACCCTAAAAATGCACAGATGTGAAAAAAAATTGTACTGTGTTATGAGTGATGGTCATGAGTCCTCCACCTCTAGCTGCGTTCAAAGTTAATTTGGAAGCTATAAGATGTTGAGAAAAACTAAATATTATATACGTATGACATCTGGTCAGGTGTGAAGAAGAGCAGGAATGAACATCCTGTTACTTTAACATATCAAATCAGAACCAGGTAGAAATATTTAAATCTTTGCAGAGTTCCAAAACTCAGAAGCCTTCGAGAAGTCCTGGTTCCACCTACAAAGCCTACAAAAGGCTACTAATGGGAGAAATATTTCAATCACCTTTAGGGTTGTTTTTTTTTCAAGGATGAGTTTAACTCCCCTTGACCTTGCTGTCCTAAGCAGGTCATTTTCTGGGTAAATTATAAATACACTGGTGAATCAGAAAGAGCATTCTTCTTTCTCACCAGCTTAAACCACTTCCCATATTAATTTCCTGTTGTCAGTTTGTTGGAGACACAGAAGTTGCTTGTATGGTGTGATTAAAGTTATTCCCTGCATTGTGCCTGGGTGAATGATCCTGCCACATGAAGGGGGAGGGGACAAGACTAGAAGCATTTTCCTTTGGGAAAGGTGTTTCAGTAATTAAGAGAAGTGAGATGAGGAAGAGAGGAAAATTACAGGAAAATGTGAAGGTATAACGTACCAAAGGACTTCTTCAGGTACTGTTCCTAAAGTGAGCATGATAACAATTTGCATTTAGCTCTTCAGACTCTCCAGCAGAGCTAAGTGTCTCAAGAAAACCATAAATTTCAGATTTACATTCCTAAGATTTTTAGTTAAGGAGGAAATAAAGATGTATTACATCACTAAATAGTCGTATATTTCTGCTAAATAGACTGTAGCAGTTCTTACCTAATACTGAATTACACAAAGAAGGATAAAAATATTTAAAAGTTTAGCTTAGCACGCATGATTTCATTATTTTTCTTTACCACCAAGGCAAACTATGTTAATATTCTGTCAGCTTTAAAAAACTAAGTACCTTTGTGAATTGCCATTTCATTGCTGAATACTGGAAAATGAGGTCATTATGTTATTCAAACAAGAGAATATTTTCATCAAAGCTGAGCCGAGAATTCCTACCTCTTGTTCCTGTCTTCGGTACAAAAAACATGTTTTATGATTTACGGCCAGAAATGAACTAATGCAAAATGTATTGGAGGACTTGACTCTTTTATTCCTTGCATGTATTACTGCATCTTGCTAATGCCCAGCAGTTCTGGAATTTGTTCCTGAAAAACACTGCAATTTTTACACTTTCCTAGGAAGAGGATTTTTATAGCTTAACCCCAGCTGCTGTGGGCAAGTCCCCCAGGACATCTGTATACCCTTCCAGAGGGCCACTGGTGGTGTCTGGTTGGAAACTGGAATGTCTGGGTCTGAGTTTGGGTCTTGCTGGCCAAAGGCAAATAACGTTCCCATTTGCATACATTTTTTAACATTCTGGTGTGGCTTGTGTAAATACACTTTGGTGTTCCAGGCACCTCCGTGAATGCCGGCTGTTTTCAGCGTTCATCCCATCAATGAATTCATATGGTAGTACATGTCCTTCAGGCCAGACAGCCTGTTATTTAAGTAATTTTCAATTCTATGGAGATAACACATGGAAATATCTTTTTGTCTTGGTTTTGTTCCTGTAATAGAAAGCTTATCTCCTGTGGAGCAGTCCTGGTTAGCACATGTGGGACCTTTTCTAAGTAGTTTTATTTTCCGTATGTCAAGAGAAATTTCCAACAGATTCGCGTTGCTGTTGTACGTAGTTGGCCCAGATTTTTAATGGCTACTTAATGCCTCTTACAACGTGTCTTGTCCTTATGGCCGCTGTTCTGCTCCTTTATCCCCAGCTGGACTTTGTCTGCAGTCAGCTTTTACCCAGGCTACTGTCAAGGGGGCCAAGCAGCTGAGCTGTCCCGTGCTGCTTGCCCTGGGGACCAGCTCTGCCACCGAACAGGAGCAGCATTTCACATCAGGCAGAAACCGCATCGCGTCCTTGCATGTCAGTCAAAACACAGTCTGCCATGAAAATAGGCAATAAGGAGTTTTTCCATGTGCTATCCATGTAAAGGAATCATTGTAGGGCTGCTTCGAAACACTGGCAGTGAAGTTTCGATAGCAGGATCATCAAAACAAGTGACCTATGATAGAGCAAACAGAGGCATTTGTGTGCATACAGCAGGAGCTGTGTGACGCTCAGTGTTTAAAAAAAAAACACAAACAGGTGGGTTCGAGAGCCCATAGTCTGCCCAGGGCCGGCTGGTGCCACATTCCTAGGGCAACCCTTCTGCATTTTGGAGAGCTGCCAAGGCGGTGCAAGCAGCCCCGGGACATCTCTTCCTGTGCCTCTCATCCAGCTCATGGACACGTCCCTTAGCATGGGAGAGGAGAAATAATAGGACTGGACTTCTTGTGTTTAATAGCATAGATTAACAGATGCATCCACTATTTTTTGCGGCTCAGCTTGTCAGGACTGTGTCAGCTGAGCCTCTTCCGTGTTGGGATCCGGGTGCCTCAGTAACACATTACAACAGTGAATGAATCTATCGGCTTGGGTTTGTGTCCTGCAAAGCACTGCTTTGCAAAGAGCAGACATGTAGGTCAGGTGTTCTCAGCCTTCATAAATCATCTCTCCTGAATTTATTGCTTTTGTCGTTGTTCTTTAATTTCCTTTTAATTTAAGTCCTATGTTTCTGATCGTCTGCCCCAGGTCACGTGTTCCGGATTTAAATCAAGATTATTTTAGACAGCTGTGAAATAAATGTATCAGAGTATCTGAACATACAAGGTTAGAGTCATTATTGCTATGAATCAGTTCATGTAGATCATGGCTGAGTACAGGTAGACTAAAAATCAGGTCCAGGCCTGAATGCATGCCTTGGTTATACTGATGTGCAGTTATCACTTTGAACAATCACTCAGAGAAGGGAGAAGGAGATTTTAAATCTCTCCTGCTATTATAAAATTGCAAAAATAATATGTTTCCCCCACACACCATCCACCCCACACCATTGAGGCTTGGTTTCAGCTACATATTTCTCACTTCTCAGGGCAAATATGCTGGCGAAACCTACAGACTTACACTACCTCTGCACATAGGCAAGCTTGGAGGGCAAGCTTGCCTTCTGTGCTGCTTTGGTAACACATGGTTCGGGGATCCTGAGAGCAACAGTATGAACAGGCAGATTAAGGACAGGCCTAACTTTTAGCCCTGACTTGACAAAACATTTAATCATATGTTTCAATGTTTGGCAGCTTTGCGGAAGTCAGTGGCACTTAGAGCACATATTTCAACCATATGTTCATTATATCGTGGGCTGGAAGGGACCTAAAGAGATCGATCACCATTGCCCCACAGCAGAATCAAATACACCTAACCACTTCTGACCACTTTTCCCTGATTTGTCATTGAAAGTCTGCAGGACAGAAGGCTCCCAAAGCACTT